GGTCATATACACACACATATATATATATATATATATTTTTTTTTTTTTTTTCTTTCGGCTGCTCCCTGCGTTGGGGTCGCCACAGCGAACTGTTGCACAAAGACTTGGCAGTTATTTTTATGCCGGATGCCCCTCCTGATGCAACCACAGACCACCGAACTACCACAGCCCTCTGTGTGAAGCAGAGAGCTACTATCTAGGACACCCGGAGGAACAGATGGTTGGGGTTAAGGGCCTTGCTCAAAGGCCCAGTGTGGGGCAAATGTGGGTGGGGGCAGGTGTGGGTGCTTCACCTACCCCACCCACATTTTTGATGTTGTTGGTACCGGGGCTTGAACCGGCAATCTTCCAATCACAGGCCCACCTTCTCTAACCTCTGCACCACCACTCCCCGACGTCAATTTGAACCCGGCCCACTGGAACCGGTACTGAAAGTATAATGAAAGGGGCTATGGAAACACAACATGTACCATACCGAGTTGAATCGAACCATGCTGTGCTGGTACTAAAAGATATTATGGAAAAGGGGCATTGCCGGTAGATGACTCCTCACTGTCTCAAAAGCCACCCTGGAGAGGAAAAGCCTTTCAGCCACTTGTATCCAGGATGTTGTTATTTCAGTCATGTTGCCTATACATGCAGTTTGGAACATGGACCACAAAACTGAAAGCTTTGCCTTTTGGCTCAGCTCCTTCTTCACCATGATACAGCAGAGTAATACAGTATCCTTATTAGTGCAGAAGGCCTCAAATTGTCAATCCATCTCCTACATCCCATCATTACCTTGGAATAAGACTCTCATATATTTAAACTTCTCCACTTGAGGTCAGATAAAAAGCATATGTTACTACTTTGGTTTCAGATTATGGAAATGCCTCCTGGCAGGAAGTACACCATGATTGATATTCTGAAATCCAACAACCTCAGATGTATTACACTGATGTGTCTTCTTTTGTGGTGAGTCATAGTGAACAATAATAGAAAAGCTCCCAGTAATCATTTTCAGAATTAATTAACCAGTGAAGATAGGGATGATAAATGTTCAAATAAATATGCTTTTTGTACAAATAGTATTTATTCTGATGCCTTTTTGTCTTTTCAGGATGGCAATAAACATTGGATATTTTGGCTTGTCCCTGAATACTTCCAACCTGAGTGGCAACCCTTTTATGAATTGCTTTTTATCGGCTATTTCTGAAGTCCCTGCCTATATTGTGTCTACTTGTCTGCTGAGAAAATGTCCAAGAAGAATCCTTCTGTCCACATTCCTCACAATCGGAGGAGGAGTTCTTCTGCTCATCCAGTTCATCCCAAACAGTAAGACTTCATTTTTTCATTACACCAACATAAACATAGCACAACTTATGTTTTTCATATATTAAAAAATGTTACATATATATATATATTTATATATATATATAAATATATATATATA